TTACAAAATGTATTTATCATGTGCTAAGCTAAATTGAGTGATCAAATCACTCCATGTATGTGTAAGTATCTCACAGGACTACTCCTACATTATCAAAAAGATCTTAAACGCTCATTAAACAAGCTAAAATAGCTAATTAGTCTATTTGGACCACTAATTATATCACTAGAGAGTTAGTTATGAAATTGTACAAGATTAGACGTTTGAAAACTCAAACTAGACGTATGGAACAAAACCAGACATCTGAACCCTGAAACTAGATGTTTTTATATGAAAAACAGAGAAACACTACTCTGTTATTCAAAATCAGGTGTCTTCCATGGCTAACCTGCAGATGTCTGAAATCACGTTCAAATTTCTGGTGTCAGAGCATCAGATGTTTGATCTCAAATTAGACGTGTATGCCCTGTTTGGATGGAGGGTAGAGAGGGGGAGGGGAAGAGAAATGAGGCTTTCACCTTGTTTGTGAGTTTTTTTAAGGAGGGTAGAGAGGAGGAAGGAAGGGGAAAGGAGGGTAAAATTGCTTGGTTTTCTTTCCCCCCGATTTGGGCGGTAGAGGAGGGTAAATGAGGGTAAATGGGTGTAATGACATTTTTACCCCCATCAAAACAAATAAAAGGGCTGATGTGTTATTAGTATAAAGTCATTTATGTAAATTTACATATATTTACTTCATTTCACCTTCATTCACCTTACTCAACTCCCAAACAACATATTACAATTCTCTTCCCTTCCCTTCCCTTCTCGTTGTTTACCTTTCCTTCCCTTCCCTTAGTAAACTCCCAAACACACCAGTAATGTTGCCACCAAATGGCTCTGATTGTTGATTTAGCTATTGTTCTCGATCCAATTCGTCTTGTTCTTCATTGTTTCTCCTCAAAAATTCTCATGACTGTTATAAACAAAACTGTGAAACATATATGCATATTTTGACATGTTTCTAAGATCAAACATAGAGAAAAATATGAAAACTAGGATTTTTATCAAAAACTAGTAACTTTTCATGTTTTAAACGATTGTGTTGGGGTAAACCTGGTTTACTCACATCAAAACTACTCCAAACAAAAGGGAAAACACCAGCAAAGAAACCCTCCTGGAGTTAGCATGAATTTCTAGGGTTTTTATAGATCAAATCGAAAAAGATGGAGAGAGATAACAAAAAATAATTCCCCAAGCAAGAACAAGTTCTCCTGCTGCCAATCTTCCCTCTCTGGCCTTCTTCTCCTGTAGAACCCCTTGCTCCCAAAAAGAATACATTCTAAGAAAAGAACAGGAAACCTAATTTTTGGGTTTGTATAGGTTATGGACCTATTTGCATAATAACCCACTAACTTATTTCCTTTACTCTTATAACCCTAAGGGTTACATATGCAAATCCCCATTATAATTAAATCCAATTTAGGATTAATACATGAATATCATTTTAATAAAGTTAAACTTTAGAGATTTCCATCATATCGAGTAGAAGTAAATATTTATTTTGCAAAAATCTCCTCAATGAAATATATTATTTAATCAAGAAATTAAATTCAAGGCCTTACACCCTATCCCCCTAAAAATAAATTTTGCCCTCAAAATTTTTAACTATAGGGGATGCATACCTTCAACAAATCCATATATTTCTCCACTATCGTAATCTAGCTAGCATGCCAACTACCTTCTCCTAGTGAATAGGAATTCCTTTGCACAAGCACTAAGGGAATAACATTATTCTTTAAGTGCTTCTCCCTTCGGTCAACTATAGAAATCAGGTGATGATAGTAAGATAGATCCACTCTAGCTAATTGTCAACTCCAAATGATCTAAAATGTGACTCACATTGGGCACATACCTCCTCTACTGTGATACGTGGAATACATTATGCACTCCTTGCAATGACAGTGGCAACACGAATAGGTATGCTACCTTGTCTATTCATTCAATAATATCAAACGGACTCAACTTCTCATGCGTACCAAAGCTAGTAGCTCCACTAATCGACAAAATCTTAAGAAATATGTGATCTTCGACTTTAAACTCCAGAGGTTTTCTACCTGTATCTGCGCAGGTATGATATCTATTCTGAGCCTACTTAAGTTGCTTCCAAACCATTGTAATCTTTTCTTCGGATAGTTGAATGAGTTCAGGATCTAACAATTTCCTCTCTCTCATACTTTGTCCCAATATAATAATGGTGATCTACATTTCCTCCCATATAATGTCTCAAATGATGATATCTTAATTCTAGCTTGACAACTATTGTTATAAGAGAATTCCATAAGGTGTAAATAATCCTCCCATGAACCTCTAAAATTAAACATACATCGAAGTATGCCCTCCAAGATCTGAATAGTTCACTTCAATTGCTCATTGGTATGTGGATGATAAGCAGTACTGAATCTCAATTTATTACCCAATCTCTCCTAGAAACAATGCTAAAATAAGAGACGAATCTAGTATCTCGATCAATCCGAAGCAATGAAAACGGGTACTCTATAAAGTTACACTATCTCTTACATATAACGCTTTGCTAACCATTCAGTAGTCTGCCCAACTCATAAAAGATTAAAATGAGCACTCTCAGTGAGTCAATCAATGATCACCCAAACTATATTACTCTGCTTCTAGCTCTTAGGCAAAGCTGTCACAAAATCTATTGTGATGTGCTCCCACTTTCATTCGATCTTGTCGATATATACGATTTTCATATATAATATGTTAGGTTCTGCTTTCGTATTTAGAGATAATGCATTTTCTTTGCGGTTGACCATCCTAAATATGAATTCGACTTGATTTCTTTTCAGATTTTATTTTATGCTAGTAGGCCAAACTATTGATAATTACTGACCAAGAAGGTGATAATTGTTGCTGATAATTTTACAAACAGCATCCCCAAAGTTCTAAAAATTACTAATAACTTTTAGGGTGTTAATTATAATTTTTAAAACTTTTGGGGGTTGGTTGTAAATTTTTAGCAAACCATTTGTAGCTTTTGATAAATTTTAGGGGGTTATTTGTAATGTTATAATATTTCAAGGTGTTAGTTATAATTTTTAAAACTTATAGGGGTTTACGTGACAAAAAGGAGAGAGAAAAGATAGTCTAAACAGCTGCTGCGTCTGCAATAGATAATGGAAAATCTCAAAACGGACTTAATTTGATGACGGAGAAACCCTTGAAGATTTTTGTTGATGACTTTCGAACATTAAAAACTCAAAGGAAATTTGACTAATACATTTGGGACCTATAGAGAAGTTTTGCTCTCAATTTAACTCATCTTATATTAATTTATTGACAATATACTTTTATTTAGAAGAAGAGATGCACTTCTATGATAGTTTGGAATTGGATCTTCATAAAATTTAGCAAAGTTTGTGGGTTGTACGCTAATCCCTCTAAATGTGCCTTATTTTTGGGAGGCATTTATAAATGATGACATGAAGCATGAAGGATACTGCAAGTGAGCTTTGTTGTCGCGCGAGATTCCCACCCATTACTTAGGGGTTCCTATACGATATGCAAGAAGTTATCTAATGGCCTGTTTGGATGGAGGGGAGAGAGGGGGAAGGGAAGGGAAATTTCATTTTAACCTTGTTTGGGAGTTTCATTTTGTAGGGTAGAGGAGGGGAATGGAAGGGAAATTTGGCCCAAATTCTTACACCCCAAATTGGGGTGTAATGGAGGGGAAGGGAAGGAAGGGGAAAAATTCCCCTTCCTTCCCCTTCCTTCCCTTCCCTAAGTAAACTCCCAAACACACCATAAAAGAGATTATCTATTCCTTTATACAAATAGGAGGATCAGAGATTCACTGTTCATGCTACAGTAAATGCTACAGTAGCATTTACCGTAGGATTATTACTGTAGCTGCTGGTTAATCAAAAATATTACTGTAGCACACTGGTATACTGTAGCGTTTAGAAGTTACTGTAGCAGAGCTGGGTACTGTAGCACTTTCAAAAATTCAAATCAAAAGCGGGATTACTGTAGCAAAAAATACCGTGCTTTGCACGGACCACAAACTAGTAATCTTTTATTTGACAAAATCACGCAAAAAAAATCAAAGGATGGCAGGTAAAACATCTATCAGGTGGAGGAAGAGGGGTCCAGTTGTACTAGTCGAATAATTAGATTTTACCTAAAGAAATGCTTAAAATGATAGATAGCTATTGTAGAAGATTTCTTTAGGGGCGGCAATTACTGATAAGTATAGAGAGAAATGAGAGAACTTTATAATCTTATTTGTTACACTAATATGTTTATGTAAAAGAGTAAGGGGAGAAGTTCTAGTATCCTCAGCAATGCGAGACTAAAATAAAGGAAAGTAAAATAGCAAAACTATATGTATACGATGCAAATAATATCTTTTTTGTTGCTTAATTGGGATCAGGTATGTAAAGTCTAAGGAAAGGTGGATTGTTTTTTTTTTTTTTCTCCCTTCTATGGTGTGAAGTGAAGCATGTGTCTAAAGCTTCTTTGGACTACTCATGAGAAGGACTTGTTGCGGGTACAACGGATCCATGCAGTCTATTTAAAAAGAAAATCTATTTGGGAGATTTGTGCGCATTTGTGGATGTGGAGACAATTGCATAAAGTGAAGGATATGTGTATTGCTAATTGTGAATCTATGGCTATAATTGCAAGGATGAAAACAAGGCTTATCGATGGCATATCCAAGTTATCTCTTGCACATGAAGCTTTAATAGAGCCCCAGAATATGGTATCCTACGGATAATTCAAATCGAAGCAATCATCTCGGAACGTCCAAAATCATACTATATTTTCTACCCCTCTCTGTTAGAATATAAAAATAAAACCCTCAATCTTCACCACACCTTTGGATTTCTGGTGTAATGGTTAGCGACTTAAGATGATACTAGAGCAATCGGATTTTCTAAAAAACTGACACTACGGCATGAGTCCTCTATAGGAAGATTCATGTATATATCTCCCTAAGCAACAATATTACGTAAAGAGACGGTAAATTTCCACAACTAATTCATCTACATGATGCATTTTTTCAGGTCCTTTAAAATTCGTGACTAAAAGGTATGATGGTAGCTTACCAACTTTGGTATACAACCATTATTCTTGGACAAAGGTCAGATATTAATTTCTACGATCCTTTTCATTAATGCAAACTCTTTAACTTCTTTTATGTCTCGAAACTAATTAATCACACTGTTCAAAAGCTTAGGTTGCAAATATCATCTTTCTTGATTCTCCTGTTGGATCTGGATTCTCATTCTCTAGACAGCCTAAAGGCTATGTGGTCAGTGAGATGAGCTCGTCTGTACAAGCCTATGAATTTCTAAGGAAGGTACAGCTATGTCTAGATATTAACGTCTAATTTCTGCAGGATATTTAGCGCAATAATTAACGTATAATTTTCATAATGCACATGAGACATGAAATACATGTCTATGGTTGCAGTGGCTTGTTGAACATCCACAATACCTTCACAATCATCTCTACATTGCTGGTGATTCACACGGTGGAAAGATTGTTCCTGTTGTGACTTACAAGATTGCGAAAGGTAAAAGTTGCATTTCCTGACATGTTTCTATTTGTAAATATGAAATGCAAAATGACAAGGAACGCTTTGTTCTTTTTTTTTCTCTGTGTGTGTGTGTGTGTGTGTTCTTCTTGTCTTTATAGAGTAGAAATCAGCCGCTAATTCTAACACGTTCTCGTTTGCTAACATTAGGTATTGAAGCAGGTGATAGCCCACTCCTGAATCTCAAGGTACGCATATATGCTGTAAGTATGGGACTAAATATTTATTAATAGTGCTAACAACCCATTTTCTATATTAGCTACATACCCTGTTTTGTTTAGTTTGTAAACTTGTGGGGAATGTGAAGTGGGAGCTCATACATGATCTGAGAAACTAAGGAAATTAGCAGAACATAGAATTTCTACATTAAATAGGGTTGCAGTTACATGGAAATTGGAAATTAATGTGACAATTTGCATGAGGAGGAGATTTGAGCTTTCTTAAGGGTAGGTTTCGGAGAGGATAGGTTATGCAATCAACTTATTTATAGCTTTTCGCTTCTCTGTCAAATAATTTTACATCTTATTCATATATGCATGGCTTCTGGTATTGATGTTTTATAACTGAAAGGAACTGAACAGATGCACGTCATCATTGAAAATATTAATTATTTTTGCGTTAGATGGTATATACTAATTAAACAAACATTAGACAGCCTCTTAGTCATACATCAGGCACATAATTTGCTAAGGTAAAAAAATATGTTCTTTTGTTTATTAGCCTGGATCTGTTTCAGGGTTATCTAGTTGGCAATCCACTTACTGGTGAATTAGTCGATCAGACTTCTCAAGTTCCATATGCACATGGAGAGGGCATCATATCAGACGAACTATTCGAGGTAGTTCGCAATCACATAGATACTGGTATTATTCTAATATATCATTTAATGAGCTTAGGAATGATAAATAACATAGATTTTGCAACCTATTGCACAACCGAAACCTGTAAAACCTACACTGACCTCGGTAATCATTTGTGGAAGGCATTACTATCACATTAATGTTATCTTGTTTACCAGGAAATCCAAGCAAACTGCAACGGAGAGGACTATGTGAATCTTGATCCTCTCAAAATGGCATGCCGTTTGGCACTTGACAAATTTCACATGGTGAGCATTTTCTATTGACATTTACGCCATTTCCTATCTAAAATAGTCTCATCTCTTCGTTTTAATGCAGCTTACATCAGAATTTTCCCCTGCCTATATATTTGATCCTGAATGTCCTCTTGTATCACCTCGGAGAAAGCATATGTTTGGTGATAGGTCCTTAGAGGAGAAGTATTCTGAGATCATGCTTCCACCGGTTGTTCCTGACTTCAAGTGCAGAGTATGTGTAATTTCTCTTGTTCTTGTCGACCACAAGATGTGTTATGCACATCTTCCTTCAGTCTTATTAGCAACTTCACATTCCACTAATTGAACGAAAGTGATCGGTTTTTCCCATTTTACTAATAATCAGTAATGTTTATCGCAGTCTTATACTTATTATCTGTCCTATTATTGGGCAAATGACTACAAGACCAGGGAGGCCCTACATATCAAAAAGGTATGCTGTAATTAGTAGTAAAGTTGAACTATGAGTGATAAACTAAGTATACCACAACGCAATTGTAAAGTTCATATGAACATATAAGTTAATTAGGGGATGTGTAGACACTTGTAAACAAAGTAAATTCAAACTTCTCATCCTTTGAAATAAAAATTAGTTGAAAGAATTCAGTGACTGACTTGAATTATTAATTTGATGCTACCTGATTGTTTTAAAATATTTGTTTATTTGATGATAAGCAGGGAACAGTGCAAGAATGGGTCAGGTGCAATTTTAGCATGGCTTATACATACGACGTCCCGAGTACTGTAGTATATCATCTCAATCTAACAACAAAGGGATATCGAGCGTTGGTGTACAAGTAAAACCAATAAAACTTCCTACACCCTTCATTACATTATTCTGGAACTCTAAATATTTTTCACACTTACTGTGAATTTGCATTGCTGTTCCATGGGTTCACACAGCGGTGACAAGGATTTGCTTATAACATTTATCGGTACACAAGCATGGATAAGATCGCTTAACTACTCCATCGTCGATGACTGGCGATCATGGCATGTGGATGGCCAAGTTGCAGGGTAAGTTAAATCCTGAACAACATGATTTTAACTTGTAATGACCTGCTGAAAATATTGATGTTGCTATTTGGTCCTCTTTTGGTTCACCAGCTACACTAGAAAGTATTCCAACAACTTGACTTTCGCGACGGTAAAGGTAAAGAATTTCCTCTTTATTAATCACGAAGGTATCGACTAATTGAT